GCCATCTCCAGGAAAGCAGGGCTCCATCATGAATAACAGTTTCTTGGGAAGACAAACGCCATCACTCCGAATGTGTTCCCCACTTCCTTCTTCTTCCCCCGGCTTTATATGCTGAGCATGACGCCATATGTTATGGAATATCCCTTTGGTCATTGGGGTCAGCTGTCCTGGTTGTGTCCCCTCCCAACTCCTTGTGCACTCCCAGCCTACTCGCTGGTGGGGTGAGGTGAGGAGCAGAAAAAGCCTTGGCTCTGTGTAAGCACTGCTCAGCAGTAATGAAAACTTCCCGGTGTTATCAACACTGTTTTCAACACAAATTCAAAACACAGCCCTCTACTAGCTACTGTGAAGAAAATTAACTCTATCCCAGCCAAAACCAGCACAACAATGAAGGAGGATAACGGCAATGGATATCTTGAAATGTCCATAATTATGCACAGCTCCTCCCAGTGTGAGGACTGGTACAACAATAAACCCAAAAGCTCATGACTTCAGTATCAAACATGTTGGTGAGGAGGTCTAGCATGGGAACAGAAGCCAATGTTTTGAAAGGTTATGATGGTTGATAAGCAGAAGGTTCTTGAAAACGGAAGCAAAATATTTGATGTGACAGTGAAGCAGTTAGAAGTCAACAGAGGGAAGCAAACAGAAGGTCACAATGAGACCTAGGAAATTCATCTTTCCAAATGCTTTCTAGATCAGAGACAGGAATATGGTTGTAAAGGCCAAAGAAGTAGATACTGCAGTGGTTTAGATGTGAGAAGACAAGAATTTGAGTGATGTGGATGTTGTGTGAGATCCAGTTGCAAGGTGGATGAGTTGATCCAAGAGTGCCAGCTTGGTGGGTATTGCTCGCCATCACCCGTGTGCACCATTTCTGCCAATCCTTATCTGACGTTTGCAAGTTCAGAAGAACCTAACTTCATTTGATCATCGATTAAAACAACAGTTGCCCTTTATGATGAGTAGGCTAAATGCTGTGGGTTTTCTTAAGAAGAGACTAAAGAGTTGTAGGTTTGAGTGCCTCGTGCTGAGATTCAGATCTGCAGTCTGCTTCAAAGATGCTTTTGAAGTCTTGAGGGAAACATGCTTTTAGCTTTCAGGGAAAGTGAGAGTACGTGATCTCAACTCGCTGCTAATCTGATAACTCTTTAATTTTAATCACCCTGACAGTCTGTGGTAAACCATGTGGTTAACTATTTCGGGTACAGTCGCTTCTCTCGAAGCCACAGTCTGATGTAGTTTACACGGTGAATCCTTTGATAACACAAAGATACAAGGGGATTAAAATATCCCTCACACAGCTCAGCTGTTAAGTCACTCACAATACTTTTCATTGCTGCCTTCCTCAAACTTTGTGACTTTTACTAAGTGGCAAGATAATGAAAACTAAAAAAGGCAGAACATATCAAAGCAAGAAAATGATGGGTGGCTCTGAAAGAAAAGGGCATTGCAGGACTGGGTCTGGGAGTCACTGATTGGGTTGCTGTCAGCAAAGCATGGCTTTGTTTCAAGGAGAAGGCACTTTGGGAGCCAAGGGCAGATGCCAAATGATGAGCAACTAAGAGGAATTCAAGGCCCTTTCGCAGTCATTCTTGCTGGTTGCTAAGGCTGCATTAATTACGGCTGCAGAAAATCTGAAGACACAATGACTAAGAAATTTTATTCATAATCACTGTTACTATTATGCATAAGCATAAAGGGCCACAGATCATGCACCCAAAGATCCCGAATGCCAGGCCTGATGCAACCAGCCTGTTTTGTGTTTGAATTTCTCAGCCTTTAGGCCTTAAATAATCATTAAGTAGTGCCTTATCAACTTCTGGGTCTCCAGCTCAGCTTCAGTGAGCTTTTCAAGTGCATTGAAATGATCTAACTTAATTCATTCCAACTGATTGAGAAGTATATTTAGATGTGATTTGCTGATGACACAGCACTTCATGTCCTTGTTTTGGGACAAGTTATATTTAGGTTTGCAAACTTATTTCACAGTAAGTTGCTCTTTGGTGTGCTCAGACAGAATTGAGAGTCTACTCCCCTTTCCAATGTTTGCTTATAGATGATTGCAACTTTTAATGACTTAGTTTTGCTTATTATGCCTCACTGGTGCAGGCAGCAGCTCTACGATACGAGCTTCATTAAGAAAATGTTGGTAGCGTTTCACGCTGCCCGTCTGCTGAGTGCAGAAAGGGCTCAACTGCCTGCTTCAGGCAGCGGGGGCTGGAGCTGGCTGATAGACCTGGTGCCTCCCACCACCACTCCCAGCTGCTGCAGAACATCCTTGCTCCAGCATTCTTTCTCCTCTAGAAGAAACACAAGGGAGTTGAATCAGCCCCTCCTAACAAAAAAAGTGTAGACAAACACAGCCTTCATGTCGCTTGGTGGAGACACTCCCAAGGGATTTTGCTGTATCCTGAACAAATCTATACTTATCAATGGCAATAACCAACTCCAATGTGAAGGCGGCTTTGGAGGGTGAGATTGTTCTAAAATTAAAATTAAAAATGTTCACTTAAAATAATTAATAGTTTTGCCAGATATTCAGAGCCTCTCCTTGGCTAAGAAACAATCAAAGAAACAAAGCTTTGCTTCCCTCATGTTCCTTTCAGGACATTCAGTTTCATCCCTCAGCTGTGATTTTAGCCCCGTGACTGGGAGCAGAATTAGATACTTAACTGAGCTCTGGGCATGATCTTGTATTGGTAAGACAGAAAGATGTGGGAAGTCCTTGGTGAATATAGTAGATGCACAGGCTGTCCTGATTCTTAGGCTTTCTGTTTGTAGAAGCATGCCCAGCTCTTCCAAGGACTGACTTTGCTGATATTGCTGCTGAATCATATCCACTGGGGACCAAACTGTATTATGAATGTGACGATGGCTACACAAGAAGAAGTGGCCAGTACTTGGGAATTCGGTGTCAGCGTACAGAAGGGGTTGCTACTTGGTCCTACACGGAATTTCAATGCATTGGTAAGTGATTATTGTCCTTTTTCTACACTTGTAGAGTTAGTCAGTATAAGATACATCTGGGCACTGCTCTAACTAATGATCATTTGTGCTTATCTTTGCAAATTAAAACTTGCAACAATTCTATCTTGCCTCTAGAAGTTCGGGTGCTCTGGCTTTGTTCTGCTATATGTCCTGCTGTAATTCAGCAAATGTAAATTCTCCCACAGATAAGAAAATTTTGTTGTCAACGGATCCCACAATGGAGTTAGATTTTACACAGAAGCCAGCAAGAAAAACACAGAGCTCTGAACCCCAGAAGGAAGAAAACCTTTCAGAGTTTGACCCGAAAGGTAAGAGTGAGCCCATTCATTACTGTAATGCTCCTTCCACTGATTTTCATGGAAGAAGTGTAAGAATGATGATGAGTCATTTTTAATTATTTTGACAGTCAGAGAGAAAGAAACAATTGCTATAACACCTTGGTTGAATAAGTCATATGCTGTAAGCAAATGTGTACTTTATATCCTAAAAAAGAATTAGGAAGGCTGGGTATGCCCTACTTGTTTATATTTTGTAAGAATATAAATAATGCTGTTTCCAGAACAAAAGCAATAGGTAAAATTTATCTGCTTAACCATCTGCTGCCTTGTAATCCTCCAGATTTTTGTGGTCCTCCCAAGACTATTCCACATGCCTCTTTAAGACTGAACAAACAATATTACATAGGACAAGTATTACATTTCAAATGCCAGAGTGGTTTTGATAAGCGACCCCCCACCTCTGGCACCCGCACATGCAAGAAGGTGAATGACCAAGTCATCTGGACCCCCCTTGACATGCAATGCACCAATGACAGCAGCTATAGTGATGAGTGGCTGCCACAGACTATTGAGCCAGGTAAGATCGTTGCTTTGACATCACATTGGTGTCATGATCTGTTCATGCAGGGTCCAGACCCCCCAACTCAGCACATCAGTCCTAGGGAACAACCTGCTTGGGGTTTGGGATGGAGAGATCAGCAACCTCAGGACTTTGACACTGATGGAGATGTCATCTTTAACTGATGGAGATGACATCTCTGGGAAGCACATAGCTGCATCCTACTTTGTCTTGGGTGTCCTTTCACACTAATGGCAAATTTGCAGGAATTTGTGAGCAGATAAATCCACAGTCATATACTGGGAAGAGAACAGTAGAATAAGCCTTTCTCTTTCTCTTTCCTGGAAGCTACTGGTCGTCTTCTGTCACTTCACAGTAAGGTACTGCAAAAGGTATATCTAAGCATCCCTCATGATTGCTCAGGGTTTTCAGATCCGGAGTTTAGCTAGTCCATAGCTAAACCTGACTCATGTGGTTCAGTTCTTAATTTAACACCCAGGATGCTGTTTTGAACAAAGAGACAGGAAGAAGCCCACCAACATTGAACTGTAGTCTTTATGGACCCAGATTCAGCAGGACATGCACCATTGTGGTCTGGCACCTTGAGTTTCACAGCTCAGGGAGGGAGCAGACCTCTCAAGTGAGGCTGCAGAACCTCTGCCTCTTGCTTTTATATGTGTTAAGTAAAAAAATACCCTGACCTTCATGGCCTTTACTCCACACAAATTACCCACCTTTTCTGATGGCATCTCTCCTAACTCTACAACACATGAGTTCAATATGCAGAGAGAAAACAGACCCCCTTTCCCAAGCATCTGTGACAGCACTGAGGTTCTGGGGCTCTGTCTGGATGTCAGAAGGAGCTACTGAAGATGGAAGGACCCAGCTGTCCACCACCTCTACAGTCCTCAGGCTTTCATTACCGTCCCAACCTCCTCTGAGGCAGGGGTTGAATTTTAAAGAGGTGGGAGCCAATGAAAGGTCAACACAAGATGACTTTTCCTACCAACAGAGAGTGGAAAAAAATGGTTTTCACCAGTACTTGAGCCTTTAAGGAGAAATTAATCTTGCTGAACTGTACATGCCTACTGCATAGAGTTCCACATCTGAGTTGGACTGTCTTTATAACCAATAGAGGGGAATAGATGTTGCTGGTGCTGTGCTAGCTGCCCTATTTCACATCTATTTTAGCATGAGATGAATCACACCTTTTAAAGACTTGTTTCTCCCCAGTTACTATAGCAGAGCCCAGATGACTATCTTGGAGGCCACATCTACATAATGGTAGGTCAGGTGAATGCCAGGCCTTGTGTCCTATACCAGGCCATGTGGTACAGCAGGATGGTTTGGGCAGGCCCTTTTGCCTGCAGAGTGATCTTTCAGGAGACCCTTGGCCATCGTTGCCTCTGATTGCTGCTCTGACCGTAGGAATAAATCACCTTTCTCACTGGACAGACTATTTCAGCATTGACCCATGACTTTCTCCCCTTCTTCATAGATCCGTCTGTTTCCCTGTGGTGCCCGGTTCAGAGTGTTTCAGGTACAGCAGTCACAATTTGTTGTCTGGCCTTTCTTCCTCCTTTAGGACAGTCATGGGGTTTTTTTTTCCATTGATAATTTCACTTGGTACTATCAAGATGAAAGAACTTCTTGCTATGATGGAAATAACCCATCAACAAACCAGTCTTAGAAAATGATTCAACCTATCGAATAGTCAGAGATTACAAATGTTTGAAAATTAGGATTATGAGAAACATGAGACTGGATGATGAAATAGGACATCTTGGCCTTTAATTCAACAGAAAAATAATTCCAGTTTCCTGCAAAAGTACACTGAGACCTGAGCAAGGTCAGGTCTTTGTAATTAGTGCACCAAATATTTATTCCCCCAAAGTGTTGCCTTTCTCTTTGTTATGATGTGATGTCTTTAATGGGGCTGGATAAGAAATATTCTCCCCTTTCTCAGTTCTTGCCCCAGCATTCAGCACAAAGAGATTTATCAAGAGATCACTCTTACAGAACCTCTTGTTAAAAACCTGCCCATATCTCATACTGACTCAAGTTTAGATCTTCCTTTTCAGGATAAGGGAGAAATTAAAGTAATTTCTTGCACCAAGGAAGTTTTGGGTTACATTTCTGGGGAAAAAGAGGTCCTGTCTGAAGCTGTGTTTCTAAATCCTAGCTTGGCACCTTGAAGGTCATCCTTCCCAATCTCATATGAAATAAAGACCTTAGCTGGTTCCCTTGCCTGGAAGATACAGTTCACTTCATGCTCACTATTAACAGATATCAGATCAGCACATACGTTGCTATCCAGGCTGGAAACGTTTATTGATGGCCAAGAAACAAACATGGCAATTATTAAGTCTGCTGTGCAGAGGGAGAGCTGTCAGACCTAGCCTGACTCTATCCTCATCACTGCTTTGATGCTCATCACCAGAAGAGCAAATCGATACAAAAATCAAGAATTTCTCTCTCTTTGTAGATTCGACTCATCCATCCTTTTCCTCATCTGTGATACTGCCAGTGACAGGTATGCTATTTTGTTAATTGGACTCAGACTTCAGCCCATCCCCCAAAGCAGTTACTTTGCCTTTCAATTTGCTGTTCTACTGAAAAGATCCATCTCTGTTATAAGAGCTAATAAATATACTGCAAGACTCATCTATGTCCATGTATTGGGTGAGAAGTCAGTAAAGAAAGTGTAAATAGAGACTGTTTAAAGATTTAAGCTTTTTATAGAGAGGTTTTCAAAGACTCATAAGGGATGTAAAAGAAAACAGATCAACCACAAGTCTAGATTTAAATGAAGCAATTTTCAGATTCTTTCTCTGAAATTTTCTGTGAATTCAGTGAATAACTTGAATTGGAAAAAACAGGAAAATGTAAATATTTAAATGATGTGTTACTTTCACATTTTCAAATGAGTAAAAAAAGAATGCGCAAATAAAATATTTTCTCATAGCTGAACTGAAGCATTTAGCTCAGTCCGAAGAGATTTTTTTCTCCCCCTTCCCCATTTTCCATTCAACAATTAGCTGCTAAAATAGAAATTATTTTTTACTGTGCATATACTCAAGACTTTGTACAAGGGCTCTTGATTCCAGCTGGATTCTGCTGACAACTGTAGCGCACATTATAATAAGGAGGAATAATGGAGTGAGATAAAGGAAGGGAAGGAGGAATATTGCAAACTGGCAGAGACCACAGCATCAGTAGTCCCTGGTTATTTGGCCGTGGTTGCTTTCTAGTTGTCCAGGTCCTCTCTGCCTGGGTCCTGTTTGCCCCTGGGGGTAAAGCAGTGGGGCAATATGTAAGAACCATTGCTTCAGGGCATAGGGCAAGATAAGCCCCTATCCCAGGTCTTGCCTGTTTCTCCCAGTTAGAATAATTGCAATAATTACAGATAAAACCAGGTGCTAACTGTGATGATTTTCTGTTTTAACAGCTATCTTTTTTGTTGTTCTTATCATTAAAAAAATTTGCGTGACTCACCAAGCAGAGAATACAGTAAGTGGGACGGAACCAGGAAATTGTGAAATCTAAAAAAAAAAATTCTCTATCAGTGGAAGAGCTATCAACTGGATCAGCTATCTCAGTATTACACTGCTTAGATTTCTGACTACTTTCTTAAATGAATGGCCCTGGATTTTGGGTTGTCTGGTTCAGCTATTAAATACCAGCACAAGAAAAGGAGGAATCAGAGCTTTTGAAATCAAAAAGCACGCTTTATCCCAGCCATTGTGGAACTGAGAATGGCAGTTCAAATACTGGGTGGAAAATGAATCTCATGGGGAAATTAAGGTTAATTATGCAAATATATTGGTTTCAGATAGATTACACAATCAGTCTTTCTCTTTCTGGCTAACCTGTGGGAAGTCTGGTGGAGCATCTGCCACCATGACCACGTAATTCTTCTTCCTTCGTCCCCCTGATTTCTCAGTCATGTCATGACAACTTTGTGCTTCAGACTTATTTTAGTCTGGCCTCCTCGCTGTTTCTATTACTACACTGAGATGCACGAAGGCTGTTACTGTTCACAGGCTCCCCAACCTAGTTAATGCAAGATGTCCCTATTTGACATTTGGGAGTTCTCCTTTTCTTCTCTCTCTGCTAATTCACATTTCTCTTCATGTTCCTTACTAATTACTTATGGGCTGTGGTTCTCTGCTGAATGGGGATTTTTCTCGAAAAGGAGAAGGACCTTGTGAAACCACATCAGCAGTGCTTTTTTGCCAGTTCACAATAGGATAAAGTCATAGAAAATGTAGACAACACTTTGAAACATGTTTTAGTGAGGATGGTCAACCATGGTGCAGATTGCCTGGGCCATTGTGGGATTTCTGAGAATATATTAGGTGAAAAATTGGCAAGAATGATCTACATTTCACTGGCCCTGTGGTGGAACAAGTGACAAAATAGCCAATACCAGATGAAATAGCAACTGAGATCCTAAGTGGTGTCTTCTGCAAAACGTACTGTGTGATTTCTCACAGTAAATATAGAAGAAGCCATAGAAAACCTGCCTCTTCACAGCTGCAGTAAAGTCTTTTTCCTGCTGTAGAGAAGACTTCTCAGGGAATTGCAGCATTCAGATCCAAACTCATGAAATCAATGCCTTGCTACAGAAGAAATCAGATTGTACCAGCAACTCCAAAACCAGCAGTGGCAAATGAGGAGGAAGCCTGGACACTCAAATCTAATGCATGAAGGAGGCAGAAAATATTACAGATTAATTCTTATAGGGACAGAGTGACTTTCCACCTACAGAATACGGGTAGAGGGAGTGCACCCCATCATTGACAGATGGGGAAGGAGCCCTGCCTGAAACTGCTTCCCAGAAACACTTCTCCTCCTCCTACCATACAGCAGATGTATTGCTAATATAACTGCAGCCTCTCAGAAGTGACCAGGCATACCTATGGACCGCTCACCCAAGCGTGTTAGATGGCGGCACGGTCATTACAGCCCACACACCACCTTCCCCCACAAAGAGAGATGCTGGACACCTGATGTACCCCATCCCTTCCCTATCCAGATGGGTCAAACGCAGTCACACTTTTCTCCTCCTCACACTGTTCCTCTTGGAAAAGGAAATTAAACCCATTTACCCTCTACACATAGGCTCAAAATCTTACTGGATTCCCTTATGGTTCAGTATACACATGCATTCGTCATCGCCCCCCCCCCCTTCCCAATTATTTTGGACTAGCCCCTTCCACAACAGTTACTACATTATTCCTCCAGCTCAGAAAACGATGTGGCAGATTGTGAGAGTTGATTAATTTGACAGCTCCTTTCGTAGCTGCAGAGCATCAAAGAACCTACTGTAAAGGCATTTGAGGACAGACTCAAACATACACAATACTTGATGTGCACTTATTGGGAATTTGTGAAGTTTTAATGGCCTTCTGCTTCTTTTTAGCCATATTCAGCTTGATAGGATGGGGTTCGTCTGACAAAATACAAGCATCTATGTCTGAGGCAGACAATGGGGAGGAACAACTGCCTTTAGAGAGCAGTTCATCTCACCCTATTGCCTACACCTATGCAGATGTGCATGTTTATTTATACCACATACATATATACACACACAGATATATAGACAGATACATACAGACCAAATGACTCATAGTCTAAAAGCATCTGTTTCTCTGCATTGACTCTAAACAGTGCCCAGACTGATCAGATTAGCTATAGGAGCTTACATGGTATATGACAAAGCAAAATGGGATGAAACCCTTCCTTATAATTCAGGAGATATGAGATCTGAGTGTAATTTTCTGTTTTGTGATAGTGTATGTGTCATTGTTTTATTAGTTTGCATTCCTGTTGAGTTATACTTACTCCATAGCCTTGATATTTATACTTCCGATGGCTTTTTTTATTACTGTTGGAATAGGGCTTACTTGTACTACATATCTTTATAAAGATGGATGTGTATTGATCTATTACATGCTGTTATTTTGTATGGGAGCAAACAACAATCTGCATTTACACAATACATGATAGGTTTTCACACCTGTCAACTGCTCTGAAGGCTGCAAGCAGTGCTACTAAGCTCTTCGGCTTCATTCAGTTGATACACATTACTTACTGCTAACATACCTCTGTTAAGCGCTGTGGTTAGGTTGGCATGGCTTGTCCTGCTCAGGGCATTTCACTGGAAAAGGCTAGTATTTCATCTACTCCTAGCATGCACATTTTTTGTGCAGATAGCAAGAGCAGAGTCATAGGTCTCCTACTGCTCCAGTGGTTTTTCCTCCTTTCCCTAGCCAGCTTGACTCAAGGGATCTCACCATATTTTGTTTTTGTTTCTTGGAAATTAAGAGAGACACACTGCTGGTAAGGGACGTGCAAGCAGTAGTGGGTTACAGACTGGACAACTATTATGGGTTTTAATTTTCCTAGCTATTAATGTCTACATTGAGAGTCCGAACCTGAGTCACCTCCAGCACGGGAACTGTATACATACTTTATCTCAGTTGAGCTGTACTTCACCTCTCGGTAGGTCTTGTGGGCCCTGAGTGGAAATGTTTATGTCTGAGACTTGAACCTTCAATACGACAGGCAGAGAGCAACTAGAAATCCGTAGGACCCAGCCTGGTAGCAAAACGGCACTACTGGAAGAGGTTGTGGTCAAAGGGACACCGTCACCGTTGTGCTTTCTCCATGGCTGCTCTTGCTCATTTTACATGAGATGTGGTGGTTGATACTTTTATTTTGTAGACTTTGATTTTCTCAGCATTGAACAACTAATAAACTGTAAAAATAAATTGTTATGGATGTTTAAAAGGCAGCTTGTACTTCTTGCTATTGATCTAAGCTTTGAAAAAGACAAGATTTATTTTCCGTTGCCCTCTCATTTTAGTGAAAGGTGTGACAAACTCAGGAATGTGTTGCAGGAAATTTTATTCTATTCGCATCACCCATGTACTATCATCACATTTAACCTTTAAAATGCAGGAGGAAACTAAAATATTTGGGCAAGAAGATCTCTAGCAATGATGTCTACAAAATAGATAATGGAAGCAAGTAATAGATTTTTACAATCTAAGGGCAGTGGAGCTCCCTTAATCCTCCCCAAGGGGTGGGAATACACATACTGCTATACTACTACCAGGATCCCGAGTGTGAGAAAATGTGTTTTTCCAGAAATCTGCAGTGTAAGACTCAGCCTGCACATTGCAATATGCCATCATAGGTGCCTTCATATAGGTGTCTCCATGTGAGCTGGTCCCATCACAGTGGAGATAAGAGTCTAGAGACACTCAGCTATCAAATGCAAGTGTCCACCTAGGTTGAATAATTTTCCAGACCCCATGGACAGCATCAGCCATTGACTCCATTGACTCTACTGGGAGCTCAGGCAGCAGCTCACATGGAAACACCTACAGATTGATCTGATTGCCTAAAGATTGGTATCTGCCATGAGCTGAGACACCCAGGGGTGTCGGAGACATCTACATAGGGTTGGAAGCTACAACACAGGACCTATGGGAGGCCTGTCCTCCTCTGCACTGATAGCTGGAAGCCAAGCAGCTTGGTTTGTTGTAAGACATGCCAATAAGTGAGCCGGATCCCAGCCCTAGAAGTCATGAAGACTTGCAGAATCTATCACTCACCTCTATAAATGCATTGTTGAAGAAATCTGATAAAAATATTTCCTGCCACGCTAAGACAAAAAAAATTTCTTAAGTTTAAATTTAAGCATGCTTTTTGGTTGCAATGACAAATAAAAAACAGTAAGTGGGGATCTTATGCACAAATACTGTTCAGTGGCCAAAAATGGCCCGTGTCTTAGACAATTTAGACAGTAGACACAAAGCAAGGTTGAGAAGGTGTTCAAGGAGACAGTGAAACAGTACAGATATGTGTCTCAGTCGCAGTCTTAACACTGCAGCTACCTACACATTTTTTACATTTGGTTTTACTTTTTCTGTAGGAATAACAGCATGGCAGGGTAAATATGTGCTCACCCGGGCAGTATAAAGGCATGTGAGCAACGACTTCAGCACTCCAGCAAGCACCAGCTCCACCAGTCATTTCCAGGTCTCTCATCCCAGCATTATTTTCTCTTCCAGTCTTTCTGCAGAAAAAAAATTCAGGGAAGATACTCCCTAACTAGATTTCATTTTCAAAGCTGTGGCATTCATACCCATACCAAATAAGACCCTTTCTGTCAAGAGACTCCAGAGGTGTCATCCCAACCATAGGGAGGTCCATGTGGGAGGAGGATGCAGTCCACGGCTGCAGGGCAAAGTGCTGTTGCAGAAATGGTTTGGGCCTTTTGCAACAAACCGAAAGCGGTTCTTCTACCCTGCCAACAGCCTCCACCTTCCCCTGTCTTCCTCACACAGCCCTTTCAACCACCTGATGTACCGCCAGGACCCAGCAATCCAACACCCAAGAAGTCAACAGGGACAAGGGCTCCCAGATCAATGTTCAGAGCCCACCGATCCTCGGGGAGGCTCCCGGGGACATGTCACCGTAGGTGTCCCCAGGAAGCCTCCCACCTTCTCAGGGAAGCTGGTGGCGGCACCGCTACAAGCTGACGAGAAAGTTGATTTCGCTCTGCAGGTCTGGGGCGGGAGGTGGGTATCAGAAACACCCTGCTTCAGCGTTTCCAGACCAAAATTCTCAGAATTTCCATTTCAAGGGGAATTTGGAAACTCTTGGGGTTTTGTTGTGATTCAGACTGAAACCACATTTTGAAATGACAAAATTTCCTGTGCACGAGTGGCCCTGTTTTCCAGCTTGCTCTGCTCAAAACTGAAGTTTTCTCTCTTCCAATTTTTAGTGTTTTTGTGCTGCTCAGACTCCCTCAATCCTCAGTAAAGTTCTGATTTAGGGCAGTGTAAGAGGAAAATAAAACTGAAGGTTTTCATACTCTCCTTTTTAGCCTTAAGTCTCAGTGCACAGTAAAATGAAGGTAATGCTATCTTCATTTTATGGATTGGAAACAGTGGCACTGAGGTGACTTTGTAAAGCAGTCTCAGTCCCAGTCCAGGGCTCCAAACATTCAGAGTAAGATCTCAAAGCCCAGGAGTAAATTACTGTTTACCATTTATGCATGTAGCAGTTAGTTTGTTAAAACAAACCTTCATTTACTGAACTAAGAAAATGTGAGCAGGTTACTCAGAGATTAGATTCAGGTAACATAACTGGTGAAAGACATGCAGTTGTGTAATTTGTCAGAAACAGAGTGCAAATTTACATTATAAGTATTTTACAGAAGCCAGCGTGATACTTAGAAAGCAAACATTAGTTCATAGTAGGAGAACCGGCAACTTGGATCTGAAAATATTAATGTCATGGATATCACTATGGCATGTGAAAAAGCAATATCCTGAGAGTTGTGTAATATCATACAGACACAGCATGAAGCCTTTCAGCACGTGCAGTGTTAACTCAGTGTTAACTCTCTTCCCCAATTTAAAATTTTATTAATTCCTCCACATCAGATCTGAGATCTCCATTTTCCTTCC